ATTTGGACCCGATTCTGGGCCGTGAGCTTTTGGCGCCTAAACCTAATAAGAGCTAGGTCAAGCTTATGACAGGAAACGCCGCTTGGAGGGCCGGCTTCCATAACCTCCAATTCATCCCCCGATTTGGTGCCATCAGAATAAACATCGGAGGAAGAGGAATCATCGCCGTTAACCTCCGCCGGAATACGGACAACTTGCAGCGTATCATTGGGGTTTTCTTCTGGAATTACAGTACCGGAGGTAGAGAGTTCAGATGAACGACGGGTTGCCATACCGATCGAACAAGGAGGATAGAAAAAAAGACAAAGGCCAGAAAGTACCTGAGCGAGAACTAAGGAATAGCTCTAGAGAGGATGAATGATAAGCCGGAGATGCAAAGTTTCGAAACCCGGAATCAGAACCAGAAGAGCCTATTTATACTCTGTCACGCCGATTCAGCTGCCAATCAAAAGAGGACACGTTTTTTGTAATGATGACAGAGACACGTGTCGCACAGAGAATCCTTCTCAAGTAATCATGACGTTTATCGGAAAAGCGAAACGGCAGTTGCAAATAACCGTCAGAACATGCCTCGGGAACCGGCGGAAGTCCATCCGATACTCACCCGAACAGCATTCGGGCAATAAACTTATACTTCCTTATGCACTCACTACCGTTCGAGACATAGGAAGTGGGGGACTAGTGTTGGGATATTGGGTCCAGGCCCAATATCCCTAGGCCCAAATCCGGGAAGAAGCAGCAAGCGGGGCCCAAATCCGGAAAGAACTCCCGAACGGCATTCGGGATAAAACTTATACTTGGAACATTCTGGGAAACAATTATGCCAAAGCGTCAAGGCCAGATATCGACCGGTGTTCGGGATACTTCCATCAATTAGATCACCTATGGCAGAGATACCGATCGGCGTTCGGCATATGTTCATAAGCAGGATAGCACCTATGGCGGGGCCCCACACACCGAACACCCTGCCCGAGCGGGCTATCAGCAAGTGGAAGCCGCATTTAATGCTGGATCATGACAGCAGCAAGTGGGGGCGTGGGTTCTTACATGGCAGAGGTGATAGCCTACCAGATTCGACCACGTGTCCACCTTACCCATCCCCATTTTAGTATAAATACCCATGTTTAGATCATTGTAAAGGGTTAGCATTTTAATACTCAGAGCTTAGCAATAGATTTACACCTTCTATCCTTGTAATCTCATATTCATCTACCGTTCGGGTAGTCTCAGTATAATCACATATTTATTGAATATCGGTAAGCTTTTGAGTTGAGCAAATATCTCACTGTTTTATATTTTATACACATTTCAACCATACCCAATATCCCTACAATATCCAAGGCTTGTGTTGGGCTTTCGGATCTTCGGGAATAAACCTCAACATTGGCGCCGTCTGTGGGAAACGAAACTAAAAGTTCAAGGAAAACAGCTGGTCTAAGCACCATTTTTTGAAATGGCTAGGCTTCATACCGCTACACCGAGTTCTGCATCCAGAGGACGGGGAGGCCATAGATCCTCTGAGGGGTGGTCCAGGCAAGGACACGCCAGTGGCAGTGCCACCCGGGAGTTCGAGCAAATCATCCCCCAGGATGTAAGGATGAACCCTCAGTTGATGAGGGATATGGCGGAGGCCATGCAACGCATGGCGGACGAACAGGAACGGGGCTACACGGATGAAACTCATGAGCCACCATCCCCGTTGCGTCCCATGCCATCTTTTGACGAAGAGGAGGACATCGAGACTACGATGGCTCAGTTCATTCCGAGGAACGCCGCAGGAACCACTGGAGGGCCCATACCCCCAGACGAGGAGCACCAACCAGCCGAACCCCGTCCGCCCCTCGAAACGGATACAGGGAACCTACCCCCATGATAGATCCCGTTGGACAAAACTTCCAATATATCCAGAGGGATGGGGAACGCTTCATCCGGAGGAGGGCTAACATAGCTGCTCCTCCCCAGAACAGAATACGGGAATGTGTGGATGCTCGGATACCACACACTCCCCGAACGGCCCAAGACGACGAAATGGCCGAAATGAGGAGACAGATGACTGAGCTCAGAGAGCAGGTCAATCGGACGCCCCAACAAACCCCGCCAGCACGGGTTGGGATCACCTCTCCCTTTACTAGGGAAATCATGAACGCCGAAATCCTGAAGGACTGCCGTCCCTCGACCGGCTTAGCATACGATGGGGTGGGAGATCCCCACGTACACCTGAGGAGTTACCAGGGTGGCCTCATGCTATTGGGGGCCACCGACGCGGCAATATGCAGGCTGTTCTTCAGTACCCTTCGGGGACCAGCCCAGGAATGGTTCGGAACATTACAACCCGGGTCGATCGGGAGCTTTGCGGAGCTATCCACCTTGTTCTTGGCTCAGTTCGCCTCCAGCTCAACCCCGAAATTACATTTCGGGTATCTAACCAGTGTGAGGCAAGGGCCTAGAGAATCAATCTCCGGATTCCTCACCAGGTGGAGGACCGAAACCCTGAAGGTGACCGGCATGACAGATGAGACGGCCATCCTTCTTTTCACCGATGCCCTTCAGACGGGAGATTTATACAGGGAGCTGAAGAGGAATCCGGGGACCAGCTACCCAGACATCCTGGAAAGGGCCAGGAACTATGCGGCCCTGGAAGAAGAGATCAGGATAAGGGACCGAACGGCCCCACAACCTCCCACTTCAAGACTGGCAGAACGTCTGGGACCCACACCAGCGGCTGCAGCACCTCATCGAAGGACTACGCGCTTCACCCCCTGGTCATGTCTATAGCTGGTGTTTTCCATTTGGAACATAACGCTATTCCTCCCCCTACTGACACAAGGCCCGTGATGGGACCTACCCCAAGCTCCTACTGCAGATACCACCAACGGAACGGGCACCTCACGAAGGATTGCCACGCCCTACATGTGGCAATTGAGGACCTGATCCAAAAGGGCTACCTGAGGAAGTATGTCAGCACCAGCCTGAACAGCCCCAATCAGCGCCCTCCCCGATCCAATAGCTGGAAGCGGGATGCCCAGCGGGATGCAGAACCCAGTAATGATTCATACCTTCCCCCTATAGAGGAGGCTGAGGGGTCTGGGAATCCAGGGAAAAAGCCACGATTGGAGGTGAAAGTCATCTTTGACGGGGGAGAGACCGGGGATACGGCCGCCGAACGCAAGAAATTTGAGCGCAGCCTCTATGTCGCCACTGTAGCTGCACCTCCCACAAAGAAGGGCCGCCTAGAGCCAATCATGTTCGGGGTGGCTGATTTACCCAACTCACCAAGTCCGCACAGGGACGAGCTAGTGGTGAGTATGTGTATAGACAACGCCTTGATCCACCGAGTTCTGGTGGACACGGGAAGTAGTGTGAACGTGCTGTATTTACGCACGTTGGAGAAGATGAAGCTGAAGAAGGACCAGCTGACCAAGCTGAAGACGCCGCTGGCTAGCTTCACCGGCAATGTAATAGAGGCTGAGGGCACCATCCAGCTTCTGGTGGAAATTGGTGATGAAATTCACCGAGCGGCAGTCCGGATGACGTTTGTGGTGGTGGATATTGCATGTGCCCACAACGCCATATTGGGCCATCCGGGGCTAGAAGATTTGGAGGCAATTGCCTCTGTTCGACACTCATGCATCAAATTCCCAACTGACACTGGTGTAGGAGTGGCTCGAACAGATCCTGCCATAGCCCGAACGTGCTACCGGGAAGCGTTGAAACAAATGACCACCCGGGGACAGCGGGTAAACAGCATTGAGGTACAGACCCGGTGTACGGAGTTCAAGGAACGCCCCGAGCCAGCCACCCTCTTAGAATACATCGAGCTTGATTCCCCTCCCGATCGTAAGATTGCGATCGGGGTGGATCTTGAAGGGGGAATCAGGGAGGGGGTGATCGCTGTCCTGAAGAGATTCCAGGTCCTATTTGCCCGAGGACCCGAGGACATGCCGGGAATTGATCCGGCCCTCATCTGCCACAAGTTGGCCGTTCGGCCTGATGCCAGGCCAGTCCAACAGAAGAAGAGATATCAGGCGGCCGAACGGCGGGAATTCACAAAGCAGGAGGTAGCCACCTTACTGAGAATCAGGCACATTAGACCAGTCATCCATGTCGAATGGTTGGCTAATGTGGTCCTTGCTCCAAAAGGAGCTACTTGGAGAATGTGTGTGGACTACTCTGATCTGAACAAAGCCTGCCCCATGGACCCCTATCCTGTCCCACGAATAGACCTGCTGGTAGACGAAACGGCAGGATGTGAACTGCTGAGCTTTATGGATGCCTTCCGGGGTTATCACCAAGTCTTCATGCACCCAGATGATGCAGAAAAAACTGCGTTCGTCACCTCGGACGGCGTGTTCTGCTATATCGTCATGCCGTTCGGGTTGAAGAATGCAATGGCCACTTTTCAAAGAATGATCGGCATACTTTTCAAAGAGGTACTAGGGGTAACCATGGAGGCATATGTAGATGACATCCTAATCAAGAGCAGAAAGAAGGAGGATCATGTCCGGGATATGAAAAGGGTCTTCGGGATCATGCAGAAGGCCAACATGAGACTGAATCCAACAGTGGAGTGAGCCGAGTTCAGGGAAGTGGTGACTGGGGAACTAACACATTGTCCTACGGGGAAAGAAGAGGAACTAACAGGCTGTCCTACGGTGGTTGTGGCTGATTGGCGGGGTGAAGGAGATTCGAAGTTGCTGGCTGGAGAGGTGTCAAAGCTACTGGCTGGGTGGTCAGGAGTAACTAAAGGTGATGGGAAGGTATTTGGCTGTTTGGGCGTGTTAGGTGAGGGGTGGGAAGAGGATAACTGGTGGGATGTGACTGGGGAAAATGGGTGGACCGTGGCTGCAGGAAGTTGGGGGTGGCAAGTTCGGACGTAGAGTGTTTGTCAGAAGAAATTGAGAGGAGTCCGTAGGAGAAGATTCTGTCACGCCCCGGACCTTCCCGGACACGTCAACAACCCGCCGTACAATACGAATAGTCAACCGCAGTCCAACACATTCATATTATACAAGGCGTCATGAATATCATTCACACACAAGTCATCCATAAACAACATAATAAGTAATTCATAAAGCAGCGGAAAACATTGTTTAAAACAAAAGGGCCACACAGGGCTATTCATGAGCACGCAGGCTCTATATTAAAATATCCATGAGCATGTTTATTAATGTTTAAAATCCGAATGGAGGAAGCACGAACCAAGTCTTCGCTCCTAGATGATCTCTCGAGCAACGAGCACAGGAAGCAAGCTCTAGCCTCAACCTGAAAAATGGTGGTGGGACGCCCCCGAAGGGGTCAGCACTCTATACGGCTATAAAGTGCTGGTGTGGCAGGCATCTAATAGATATACAACAAGTATTTCAAACACAAGACCCTCAAATAGGGTGATAGTACATTATGATTGTAACCCTAAGTTACCCCGTTTAAAAATATACTTACTTTATATAAAAGTCAAGTAGACGGCCCGTGGGCCCATGTTCATTTGGAAATCACCATTCCCAACCCCGTGACTATAAGCCACGACAACTCCTAGAGTCCAACCCTAACACATGACATTGTATTCTAGAGCTCGGCTCTACTACATCACCATACAATTCATGTCACTCGGGTCAATTCCTTACCTTGCGTTCTAGAGCTCGGCTCTATTACATCACCACGCAAGCCCTAGAGCTCGGCTCTAGCTATACAATACATAGACTACAAGTCTACACCTTACATGCATTCTAGAGCTCGGCTCTACTACATCACCATGCATTAAGGTCCAATTCTCAAGCAACCCTATGCCTAGAATTGACATATCATTAAACTGCCATGGGTCATCCTTAAAGACTTCCCATAACTTAACCTTAGTTCCATACTAAGTTATTATATACACTTGAACTATATTCAAGCACCTTTCATACAATCCAATCCCTAGGATCAATTTAATCAACAAGTTCCAATAATCACTAACTAGTATTTCAATACTATTAAGATTATTGTTATTATACCACTATCCTCTTTATTTGTAATTCTCTACATAATTACAAATATGTAGCAGCAACTTAAGTATTCAATCTCAATACACAAATATTCATTTATGTATCCAAATACTTCATACATGAGCAAAATACCTATTTCGCAAAAACAGTTCATTTATACTCATTAAATCTCATGTTATTCATACATTCTCAAATCATTTCAAATTTCATTCTTTGGCAACTATATCAATATTTCATCAATATATGATCATCATAATCCATGAAAAATAATGATTTAAGCATTTAGGTAATCTCATGCTTAACCTACAAGTTGTAAGCAATTAGATGTCAATCCTCACCTCAATTGAGCTTTAAACTTTCCCTTCTTGGTCCAATGGTCAAATCTTTGGTCAAGGTGGATTTGGGACTGATTCCTTGCTCAAATATGAGTGTTAAACAGCCTCCTCAAAGTGCTAGTTCAACCCTTAATCGTTGATATGAAAACAGCCCCTAGAACGGGTGTTTTCCGGCTAACTCGATTCCTAGTTTTCCAATATTTGCATCTAGGTTAGTATCTAACCTTTACATCAATAAGATAACTTCTTAGGGACATATTATACACTTGGATTAGTGTATAATAGTCTCACCAATCGTTCATATCATTTGGAGAATGAAAAGTAAAGCTTTGGGGTTAAAACTCACTTTAGAAGATTAAATCCTCTCCTGCGAGGTTGTGTTTTGCTCGGACGATTTGGAAGCCTTCCACAACTCCGATTCCTGCAAACCAGACCTTCACGGATTCCTCGTCTTGAGAGCTTTCTGTGGGTATCTCACACGCCTTAATTGGACTTGTAAAACTCGAGATATCGACCAAACAGTCTCAGCACTCTCACAGCTCGAGTTCACAGACCTTTGCTCGTTCCAGCTCGATTTTTGCAAGATAATCCTTCTCTCCTCGAACAAAGACCACTCAATTGAGATAATAGACTTCAAAGGCTATCCAAGGACACCTCATACACGTTATTTGGTTGAGGATAGCTCCTATAATGAGAGGAGACAAACAGCACACCAATTTGTGCGAAAATAAGAGTGGTGGCCCCAAACTTTGATTCTTATCAAGTCATGTGCAGCTCTTCTCCATAATGGCCGGCCAAGGTAAGTCTCCTAACCCATTTTTATTTGTTTTGCAGGTACTAATACCATGTGGAGTGGTTCCCAATTGATCCCATTAAATTTGGGGTCCAAAATATCTACCAATACTTCCAAAAATGGGAAGATGGGTCCTATTGTTTTATCTTTGTCAAAGATGTCTTTTTGTACTCATCCTAATTTATTTAGAACAAGTCAACTTCCTAAATCACATTATTGATCTCCAATATGTGTAGGCTCATCCCAATAATTTACACGATGAAAATTACAAAAGAATGCGGGTTTGAACAATACAATATTCAATCATGTACTTCGTAAAATATTAATCGTTTCTCCCATTGTTTTGCAATTGGAAATTCAATACATCACTTTTGAATTTTAAATCGAATTTTCAAGGACGTTCGGGTGCGGTGTCACAAGTTCACCCCCCCTTAACAGGAATTTCGTCCCCGAAATTCACAGCTCTACTCGAATAGGAAAGCATACTGCTTCCTCATCAAAGCCTCCGTTTCCCATGTCTCTTCCTCGACCCGATCGCTCTTCCACAGGACTTTAACCATTGGGACTTCTTTGCTCCTCAGCTTCTTCACCTTTCTATCGGTGACTTTGATAGGTTGAACGGCGTAGTTCAAATCCTCACGTACCTCTACAGGTGGCTTCTCTAGTACGTGAGAGGGATCATGCACATACTTCTTAAGCATGGATACATGAAACACATTATGTATCTTCTCTAACTCAGGAGTCAACTGTAGACGATATGCAACGGCCCCAATCCTCTCTATAATTCTGAATGGACCTATATATCGTGGGTTAAGTTTTCCTCGGGTTTGGAACCGAATGATCCCTTTCCAAGGAGAAACTTTCAAGAATACCTCGTCATCAACCTTAAACTCTAAGGTTCTTCGACGCTTATCTGCATAACTCTTTTGTCTATCCTGAGCCGCCTTGAGTCTCTCTCGAATCAACTTCACCTTTGATTTGGTGACCTCAACCAACTCAGTACCCTCGAGTTTGGCCATGCCAACCTCATCCCAGCATAACGGTGTACGGCACCTCCTCCCATACAATGCCTCGTATGGAGGCATGCCGATGCTTGCCTGATAACTGTTGTTATAGGCAAACTCCACGAGTGCTAAGTGGTTGTCCCAACTTCCTTGAAACTCCAATGCACAAGCCCTCAGCATGTCTTCTAAGATCTGTATGACTCTTTCAGACTGCCCATCCGTCTGTGGGTGGAAAGCAGTACTGAACTTCAGCCTCGTTCCCATAGACTCCTGAAATTTCGGCCAAAAACGTGATGTGAATCGTGGGTCTCTATCAGATACAATGGTCACTGGGACCCCATGCAGCCTCACGATCTCATCCGTATACAATTTGGCTAACCTCTCAAGTGGGTAGGTAGTGTTGATAGGCAAGAAGTGTGCACTCTTCGTGAGCCTATCCACAACAACCCAAACTGCATCATAATTCCGAATTGTCCGTGGTAAACCTACCACGAAATCCATTGTCACATGTTCCCACTTCCATTCAGGAATGGAAAGTGGTTGTAACAAGCCTGCTGGATGCTGATGTTCTGCCTTAACTTGTTGGCAAGTAAGGCATCGACTGATATATTCGGCTATTTCTCTCTTCATACCTGACCACCAGTAACTCTCCTTCAGGTCACGGTACATCTTCGTGCCCCCCGGGTGCATGGCATAAGCCGATGAATGAGCTTCCTCTAAGATGGACTTTCGGAGCTCGTCATCTGCCGGTACACACACTCGGTCACGAAATAATAAGAGACCATCATCTCTTTCCCTGAAATCCTCCACCGGTCCCGCTTGCATGCGTTCCCGGATCTTCATAATTTCTTCGTCAGTTTCCTGACCCTTCTTGATCTCGTCAAGTAAAGTAGGTCTCACCTCAAATCGTGCCAATAAGGCACCATCGCTAGATACCTCCAGTTGGGCCCTTAATGCCCTCAAATTAGCTAGCAATGCCCCAGACGAGCTCTTCCGGCTCAAAGCATCTGCCACCACGTTTGCCTTGCCGGGGTGATACTCTATCACTAGATGGTAGTCTTTTATCAACTCCATCCACCGTCTCTGTCTCATGTTTAGCTCTTTCTGAGTAAACACGTACTTCAAGCTCTTGTGATCAGTGTATATGTGACATGTCTCCCCGTAGAGATAATGTCTCCATATCTTTAGTGCAAACACCACTGCCCCCAGCTCCAAATCATGAGTAGGATAATTCACCTCATGCTTCTTCAATTGTCGTGAAGCATAGGCAATTACCCTCCCATTCTGCATCAGTACACATCCAAGCCCTTGGATGCTCGCGTCGCTATAGACATCGTACCCCACACCTTGTTTGGGTAATGCAAGTACCGGTGCCTCAGTCAATCTCTTCTTTAGTTCCATGAACCCTTTCTCACATTTGTCATCCCATACAAACTTAGCTCCTTTATGGGTGAGCTTCGTCAATGGCGATGCCAAAACAGAGAACTTCTCCACGAACTTTCTGTAGTAGCCTGCCAATCCAAGGAAACTACGAATTTCCTTGACGTTCTTTGGCCTCTCCCATTCAGTAATGGCTTCTATCTTCTTGTTATCAACAGCAATTCCCGATCCCGAAACCACGTGCCCGAGAAAGCCGATTTCCTTTAGCCAAAATTCACATTTAGAAAATTTGGCATAAAGTTGCTTCTCCCGTAGTGTCTCAAGAACAAGTATCAAGTGCTCTTCATGCTCTTCTTCACTCTTTGAGTAAATCAAGATGTCATCTATGAACACAATCACGAATCGGTCCAAGTATTTATGAAATACTCGGTTCATCAAGTCCATGAATGCCGCCGGGGCGTTTGTTAGCCCAAACGACATAACAAGGAATTCAAAATGCCCATACCTTGTGCGGAAAGCACTCTTTGGTATGTCATCTTCCTTAATCTTCAATTGATGGTACCCCGACCTCAAGTCAATCTTCGAGAACACGGTTGCTCCTCGTAGTTGATCAAACAAGTCATCAATCCTAGGCAACGGATACCTATTCTTGATTGTGACCTTGTTCAGCTGACGATAGTCAATGCACATTCGAAGTGTCCCGTCTTTCTTTTTCACAAAAAGAACCGGTGCTCCCCACGGGGAGTGGCTTGGTCTAATGAAACCATTATCCAAAAGCTCTTGCAATTGGGTTTTCAACTCGTTAAGTTCAGCGGGTGCCATACGGTATGGCGGTATGGAGATCGGTTTGGTACCAGGCTCGACCTCGATCACAAATTCAATCTCCCTATCAGGTGGAAGCCCCGGTAGGTCTTTAGGGAAGACATCCGGGTACTTACAAACCACCCTCACGTCGTCAATGTTCGTTTCCTCCTTGGTTTTGTCAACCACGTATGCTAGGTATGCGTGGCATCCCTTTCTCATCATACTTCTCGCTCTCACGGCGGAGATAATACAACTGTTTGATTTACCTCGATCCCCCTCGAAGCGTAGGGTGTCCCCATTATTGCCTTCGAGTTCCAAAACCTTTGTGTAGCAATCTACCCTAGCATGATGCTTTTCTAGCCAATCCATCCCTAGGATTGCATCGAACTCCATCATACTCAGCGGTACGAAATAACACGTCAAGGTTTGGCCATCAATTTCCACCTCACAAGATGGATAACAACTAGTTCTTTCGACGTCATCCCCTAGTGGTGTCGATACCACTAATGTGTGCGTCATTGGTATTGATTGTACCCCTAAGTCCTCGGCGAACGCCTCACTCACGAACGAACGTTGCGCTCCGGTATCGATAAGGATTCGTGCATCCTTCCCATTAATCTTTAATGTTCCTACATTTACACACCATGTAAGATACCCTTTCTAATGGTTTAGGACACTTTTTGGAGGTTAATAGGTTCATATAGATGTTCGGAATCAAACGGGGGTCCAATCGTAGAAAAACGAGGGGAAAAACTTAGGTTTCGGGCGGCTGGGGTCCACGCACGGTCGTGCGTGGGACACGCACGGTCGTGCGTGCATGGAAAAATTCGCTTCCGGCTACTGCCGGTTACGCACGGTCGTGCGTACCCGGACACGCACGATCGTGCGTCCACGCACGGCGTGCGTACCGGCACGCACGGTCGTGCGTCCTGCGCGAACATCACCCGGAACCACTGCCCCCTACGCACGATCGTGCGTGGGGTTGGACGCACGATCGTGCGTCCCTGTTTTTGGTCAGTTCTGGCCCGAATTTCGCCGTTTGACCCCGTAATGGCTCGCACTCAATCCCTATGACTTATGTCATCAATTTATGGATTAACTATGGACAAAATACAATTGTGCAAGAGGCAATACCTGCAACCGAGTCCGGGTTAGCTCGAGCATCCGCCTCCGTCATCGCATAAACTCTAGCTTGAGTTCTTCCTTGATTCACGGATGGCGCGTTGCTCGCACTCGCTCCCCCATGTCCCCGGCTCGCTTGAGAAGCTCCGGTTTGATTCCGTGTACCCGTCGGGCCACTGCTCGGTCCCGATGTCCTTGTCCCACCCAATTGTGGGCAATGCGCCTTCAAATGCCCGGCATCCCCACATTGAAAACATCTAGGGGGGTCGCGACATTTACCGGAGTGGTTCCTCTTGCAATTGTTGCAACGAGTTACCACCGAGGTTTGTGACCTCGAGCCTTGCCCACTCGGGCCTTGATTCCCCCTAGACGGTGGCGGCGGTGCCCGGAAAGATCCTCCTCCATGGTTCCCCTTTTTGTTGGAACCTTGGGAGCCATGACTCTCCCATTTTCTCTTTTTCGCCTCCTCGGCGTCTCTCTTCTTCCTCTCCTCCCACTGTTTCTCCCCCTTCAACGCTTGGTCAACCACTTGGGCGAAGGTCATATTAGGCAATTGTGTTGCCCTATCACGTATCTCCAAGTCAAGAGCATCCCAAAAGTGGTTTACCATTCGGTTCTCGTCACAAGCATACTCCGGTATGTAGTCGGCGAGATCCCGGAACTTGTACTCAAGTTCCTTCACTGTCATGTTACCTCCTTGGGTCAGGAGGGTGTATTCCCTCACCTTCTTGTTCACCTCAAAATCAGAATAATATTGGGCAAAGAACTCCCGTTGGAAGTCCTCCCAAACGACGGTCTCACCGTACTTGCTCTTGGTTCCATCCCACCACTTGGATGCCATCCCCTCGAGCAATCTTACCGCAATTCTCAGTTTGAGATTTGGCGCGATTTGCATGTCAAGGGCTGCTTGATTTAGCCTCTTAATCCATTGTGCTGCAACTGAAATGTCCCCTGCTCCATCAAAGGGTTTGCACCCCAAATCTCTTGCTTCTTTGATAAATTTGGAGATCCTTATGGTTGGACCTCCATCATTTTGGCCTCCATGTGGTTCCACATGGACTCTAGATGCACCATGACTTCCTCCTCTCGAAGCCATGCCCGAAGGTTGCCCCGCTCGCCGTCTTCGGCGTTGCCTCCTTTCCTCGCGCTCCCGTTGATATTGTTGGAGCAGCGCCTCAATTCTTGCTAGGGAGTCATTCTCCCCCTCTTCATCACTTACATCATCGTCATCCCCTTCGTAAGGGGTCTCAACCGGCTCAGTTTCCGGTTGGTAAGTCGAGTCCTCATAGGACCAGTAGGTTTCACTTTCTGTGTCCACATGACCGTCACTCACGGTCTGTGATCGGCCTCCACGGCCAGCTCCTCTAGATGCCCTAGAGGTCCTTCGACTGCCCTGTCCAGTCTCCACTGGTACACGGCCGGTCGGGTTTCTCCTAGTAATCCTGCCACCACGGTCCATTTCTGAAAGAATTTGGAAAGAGTCGTTAGACTCGTATCAAATGTCAATTGACGGATAGGTACTTAAGACACATTCTGGCTCGAGTCACCGCCATACCAATTGCTAAGGGTACCATCTTAACAATTAGAGACCTTGCAACCCAAGTACCAAAAGCTCTCCAAGTACAAAACTTCTATGCTCATGGTTTTTTCAAAATCTTTCCAAAAAGAGAATTTTGAGACTTCATTATGAAGTTTATGAACCTGGCTCTGATACCAACTTAATTGTCACGCCCCGGACCTTCCCGGACACGTCAACAACCCGCCGTACAATACGAATAGTCAACCGCAGTCCAACACATTCATATTATACAAGGCGTCATGAATATCATTCACACACAAGTCATCCATAAACAACATAATAAGTAATTCATAAAGCAGCGGAAAACATTGTTTAAAACAAAAGGGCCACACAGGGCTATTCATGAGCACGCAGGCTCTATATTAAAATATCCATGAGCATGTTTATTAATGTTTAAAATCCGAATGGAGGAAGCACGAACCAAGTCTTCGCTCCTAGATGATCTCTCGAGCAACGAGCACAGGAAGCAAGCTCTAGCCTCAACCTGAAAAATGGTGGTGGGACGCCCCCGAAGGGGTCAGCACTCTATACGGCTATAAAGTGCTGGTGTGGCAGGCATCTAATAGATATACAACAAGTATTTCAAACACAAGACCCTCAAATAGGGTGATAGTACATTATGATTGTAACCCTAAGTTACCCCGTTTAAAAATATACTTACTTTATATAAAAGTCAAGTAGACGGCCCGTGGGCCCATGTTCATTTGGAAATCACCATTCCCAACCCCGTGACTATAAGCCACGACAACTCCTAGAGTCCAACCCTAACACATGACATTGTATTCTAGAGCTCGGCTCTACTACATCACCATACAATTCATGTCACTCGGGTCAATTCCTTACCTTGCGTTCTAGAGCTCGGCTCTATTACATCACCACGCAAGCCCTAGAGCTCGGCTCTAGCTATACAATACATAGACTACAAGTCTACACCTTACATGCATTCTAGAGCTCGGCTCTACTACATCACCATGCATTAAGGTCCAATTCTCAAGCAACCCTATGCCTAGAATTGACATATCATTAAACTGCCATGGGTCATCCTTAAAGACTTCCCATAACTTAACCTTAGTTCCATACTAAGTTATTATATACACTTGAACTATATTCAAGCACCTTTCATACAATCCAATCCCTAGGATCAATTTAATCAACAAGTTCCAATAATCACTAACTAGTATTTCAATACTATTAAGATTATTGTTATTATACCACTATCCTCTTTATTTGTAATTCTCTACATAATTACAAATATGTAGCAGCAACTTAAGTATTCAATCTCAATACACAAATATTCATTTATGTATCCAAATACTTCATACATGAGCAAAATACCTATTTCGCAAAAACAGTTCATTTATACTCATTAAATCTCATGTTATTCATACATTCTCAAATCATTTCAAATTTCATTCTTTGGCAACTATATCAATATTTCATCAATATATGATCATCATAATCCATGAAAAATAATGATTTAAGCATTTAGGTAATCTCATGCTTAACCTACAAGTTGTAAGCAATTAGATGTCAATCCTCACCTCAATTGAGCTTTAAACTTTCCCTTCTTGGTCCAATGGTCAAATCTTTGGTCAAGGTGGATTTGGGACTGATTCCTTGCTCAAATATGAGTGTTAAACAGCCTCCTCAAAGTGCTAGTTCAACCCTTAATCGTTGATATGAAAACAGCCCCTAGAACGGGTGTTTTCCGGCTAACTCGATTCCTAGTTTTCCAATATTTGCATCTAGGTTAGTATCTAACCTTTACATCAATAAGATAACTTCTTAGGGACATATTATACACTTGGATTAGTGTATAATAGTCTCACCAATCGTTCATATCATTTGGAGAATGAAAAGTAAAGCTTTGGGGTTAAAACTCACTTTAGAAGATTAAATCCTCTCCTGCGAGGTTGTGTTTTGCTCGGACGATTTGGAAGCCTTCCACAACTCCGATTCCTGCAAACCAGACCTTCACGGATTCCTCGTCTTGAGAGCTTTCTGTGGGTATCTCACACGCCTTAATTGGACTTGTAAAACTCGAGATATCGACCAAACAGTCTCAGCACTCTCACAGCTCGAGTTCACAGACCTTTGCTCGTTCCAGCTCGATTTTTGCAAGATAATCCTTCTCTCCTCGAACAAAGACCACTCAATTGAGATAATAGACTTCAAAGGCTATCCAAGGACACCTCATACACGTTATTTGGTTGAGGATAGCTCCTATAATGAGAGGAGACAAACAGCACACCAATTTGTGCGAAAATAAGAGTGGTGGCCCCAAACTTTGATTCTTATCAAGTCATGTGCAGCTCTTCTCCATAATGGCCGGCCAAGGTAAGTCTCCTAACCCATTTTTATTTGTTTTGCAGGTACTAATACCATGTGGAGTGGTTCCCAATTGATCCCATTAAATTTGGGGTCCAAAATATCTACCAATACTTCCAAAAATGGGAAGATGGGTCCTATTGTTTTATCTTTGTCAAAGATGTCTTTTTGTACTCATCCTAATTTATTTAGAACAAGTCAACTTCCTAAATCACATTATTGATCTCCAATATGTGTAGGCTCATCCCAATAATTTACACGATGAAAATTACAAAAGAATGCGGGTTTGAACAATACAATATTCAATCATGTACTTCGTAAAATATTAATCGTTTCTCCCATTGTTTTGCAATTGGAAATTCAATACATCACTTTTGAATTTTAAATCGAATTTTCAAGGACGTTCGGGTGCGGTGTCACAGATTCAGTAGAGGGGCCATGGGCTACACTAAGAAATTTAAAGGGAAAATTATTTTCAAAGAACCTAACATGGCGGCTAATATAAACACGGCCCGTCTTTGGATCAAGACAACGATATCCTTTATAACCGGATGCATAGCCAATAAAAACACAATGAACGGAACGTGGAGAAAGCTTGTTAGTGGAAGTAGCAGATATATTTGGAAAACATGAGCAACCAAACACACGCAGAAAAGAATAATCAGGAGATTTTTGAAAAAGCTTTTCATAGGGAGATGAGCCAGAAAGAAGAGGAGTGGGTAAACGATTAATAATATATGCAGCAGTAAAAATAGCATCAACCCAAAATTGATTAGGAATAGAAGCCTCAAGAAGCAGAGTCCTAGTCAATTCAAGAAGGTGACGATGTTTACGTTCAGCAACCCCATTTTGTTGGGGAGTGTCGGGACAAGATTTGCGAAAATAAATGCCATGAATGTCGAAAAATTGCTGCATATTAGAATTAACAAATTCACCCCTACCATCACTTTGAAAAATTTTAATTTTAGAAGTAAAGAGATTTTCAACTAAAGCTTTAAAATTTTTAAAGTGAGAGAACACCTCATCTTTGCGGCGCATGGGATATAACCAAGTAAATCGTGAAAAATCATCTATAAAACACACATAATATTTAAAATCCAAATGAGACAAAACAGGAGATTGCCAAACATCAGAATGAATAAGTTGAAGAGGGCTAGAACATGTATGACTAGCATCCGAAAAAGGTAAACGTTGAGACTTGCCCAAGCGGCAGGAAATACAGTCATAGGAAAAACTAGAACTATTACAAATATGCTTTTGAGTACTTAAACTACGTAAAATAGAATCGCCACAGTGGCCTAATCTACGGTGCCACACAGGGCCAGGAATTGAAACTGATGACAGAGCAAGCGGTGATGGAGGACTAAGGCTGACAGGATAAAGATGCCCTTTACTGGGTGCCCGAAGAAGGACCGCCCCCGAAATTTTGTCCTTAACAAAAAAAGAATTTTTATCAAAAATCACAATACAATTGTTATCAGCACAAAGTTTTTGAATTGATAATAAATTAAATTTTATGTGAGGCACATGATAAACAGATTTTAAAACGAGAGGACGACTAGAAGAAGATAATGTGATATCACCAATATTAGCAATGGGTAATTTAGACCCATTAGCAACACTAACAGAACATGATCCGGTATAAGGGAATTTATTAACTAAAATACCTTCAGATGGAGTCATATGAGCTGAAGCACCCGAGTCAGGAAACCATAAAGAGTCATTTGTGTCACCTGTTGGAGCCAGCAAAGCAGGCGTAGACGCCTGATTAAAGCGAGAAGGACAATGGAGTGCAGAGTGGCCTGCAGAAAAGCAAATTTGGCAAACTATAGGTGGGGGAACAGACCCAAGAATGCCCTCAGAAGATGGGAAGCCTGTAGTGCCAGAGTTAGTATCACAAATAAAATAGGGATTAGTATTTAAAGTAGACAAAACAGATATACTAGCAGAACCTGAAGTGCCAGAATGGGCTGATGTAGCTCCTTGGGAAGCTCCTTGGGACTGCTGGCAGAGAGGAGATGGTGCAACCAGCGGCTGTCCATAGTGATAAACAGGACCAGGTTGTTGCTGGCCATAATGGGGAACAGGACCAGCTTGCTGCTGGCCAAAATTTTGATGCCCGAAGTGCTGCTGTCCGTAGGGTTGACGTCCCCGGCCACGTCCGCCTCCTCTGCCGCGTCCACCTCCTCTGCCGCGACCGCCGCGGCCACGTGGAGCATAGGCAGCCTGCTGTGGCTGTCCCACTGCTGCAGCTCCAAAAGCTTGATGGATATTGGCAGCGGCTTGTTGACGATTAGAAAGAACCCATTGTTCTTGTTCCATGAGACGCGGATGTAATATATCAAACGGGAAGTTCTCGGGAAATAGCATAACAGTGCTCACTAAAGGTGCATACTCAGGACCCAAACCCGAAAGAATTGTTTGAAGTAACTCTTTGTCAGACACAGGAGAATTGATAGCAGCAAGGGCATCAACCAAATTTTTAATTTCACGCAAATAGTGCTCCATAGACTGATTTTCTCGTTTTTTTTGTACTAGACAAGAGACGTTTGAGTTCCATACCACGGGCTAAACTAGCAGACATGAATCTAGTTTGAAGCCTATCCCAAATTGCAAACGAGTATTTTAATTCATGTACATCAACAAGAACATCACGAGATAGGGTGGCAAATAACCAACAACGAATGGTTTGATCAACTCGTAACCAATGATAATACTCGGAATTTGCAATTTGGCGATTAGCGAGATCAAGAATGTGTGTGGGGGGTACATGAATAGAGCCGTCAACAATACCAAACAACCCTTGAGAGACCAAGAAAGATTCGAATTGCGTACGCCAAGTGAGATAGTCCTCCACGGCTTGGAGTTTAATGGTCACGATCTGTGAAACAGTTGTGATGTTGGATATTGACTGTGCGAGGGATGACATTGGAGCACCAAAAATCTGAGAGTCCGGTGGGCGAAGAATGCCAGGCGAGCCAGAGTGCGTTGGACCATAGAAGGAGGAAGCAGGTCGAGCAGGAGATAATCTGGCCGGTGAAACAAACGGCCCAGGGGACTGCCATGAGATGCTGGGCGATTGCGACTCAACCCTTGGAGGCGGCATGGCCATGCTGAACAGTGGCGGTGGTGGAAAAGAGGAGAATAAGGATTGCATCACCGGTGTATGTGAAACGCCAGAGAAAAGAGCAGCAGACGAGATGGGGTGGGTCGTCGCGCTAGTGCAAGCGGAGGTGGTCTCCGGCGCCATGCTGGCAGCGATTGCAACAGAGGGAGTCTGAGTTTCAGTGCTCGCAGCGGAAGAAGCCATTGACGGCTGGAGCGAACGAAGAGAGAGCCGAAAAAAAATTAGGTTTAGGCTCGTGATACCATGTGAATAATTGGAACCGGTTACCTTGATATAATCAGGGTCCTGACAGATATATTTATAATAAGGAGAAGTTGCCAAAATACATAAGTCTCCTAAAACATATTATCTATTAAATATAACATAAATTTACTTATTTGCTGAATCAAATTCTCTGTCCTCTGCTCCGACTCATTATTAATCAAATCCCAGAAAGCTTTCCATAGATGCCATACTATTACTCCTGGTAAGATCATACAATATATATCATCCATAGATTTCCCAGATTTACTGATCCATAGTTTATCCTTTTTATTTTATCATTTATATGTATACTCATTTCTTTTATATTACTCCGTATCTTTTTTATAAAGTAGATTCTATGGTATCATTAAGGTACCATACATTTGTTTACATGGACCAATCAGAATGATGCAATTGGATTATTTAAATCTAAATTAAAAATGATTTAATGGTATGGACCAATCAAATGAATGATAGATACATTACTCTATTTTTTAAATGGGTACCAGAGTTGTCTCCTTTGTATAATAGCTTTTCTTTTTTATCTTTATTTTCTTTCTTTTTTATTTTGGTGATATCATGTATCGATTCATGTTAGCCGACTTCAATATCTTTTCGGACTAAGGCTTAGATGTTGTTGTTGGTAAGAATGACAGTTAAAACTCGTTTGGTGATCCCCTTTTCGGCTTGCATCAATAATTTTTCAACTCTTAACTTTTGATTCCACGCTCTGAATTGTGTAATGATAAGAAAAAGTAAGATTGAAGTTATTTTTTTTACTATATTGGTATAATTTTTTGAACTTATACCAAACCCTACTTTAAAGCCATTTTCGTGTGTTAAACATATGCATGTTCATCTACTTTAACTATAGTATATGTGTTTTTTGTGCAACATGCAAATAAGATGCTCAAAAAATTTGAACTCAAAAAAATAGTGAATGATATATTTAGAAAATAGTTTTAGTTATAAATACATATTTTGAGTGAAATTTAGTATGAGTGAACTAGACTTAATGAATAAGATGTTCAAAAAATTTTATCAAAAATTTCCACTGGGAACCGTCTCAAATGGCACATCTGGACAGAATCTTCTATATAAGGACTTATTTGACCCCTTTTATGCAACTTCGAGGACCAAACTGACCCTTTACTCATAACCTTTAAGGTCCGTACGCTTTACGACATTGATAAACTCAAAATAGCCAAAAATACCCTTAGTCCATGATCATACATAGAAAAGTTCACTCATAATAGAGCGAAAGTTTTCGTTGAATATACAAGAGGTTCGATGCAAATAACGGTCATAAGCACCTCAAAAAAAGTTTGTACTCCAAGCAAACCGAAACCAAAGTAAGAAGTCTAAAAAGTAAAAAACTTGAAAGGAAAATAGAGCAATAAACCACATGCGCCAAATGCAAACTTGAAAAGTCTTCCAAACACTAGTCACACGATCTCTCCATAGAAGC